CGATGTTTACTTAACATTACATCCATCTCTGCTTGTGTTGTCATGAAATGGAATGATGATCATCTAGTTGCTTATGTTCAATCTTCTCATATCAAGGAAGAACAACTACGTCAACATTGCCAATCTCATCTTCCACCACATATGATTCCATCACTGTTTATCATACTTGATAAATTACCTCTGAATCAAAATGGAAAAATAGATAGGAAACAACTTCCTTCACCAGAATTTGCATTATTACCTTTCTCATCGTCCGATAAATCTGATACTCCTCTTAATCAGTTCGAAGAACATATACACACTATTTGGTGTCAAGTTCTTCATTCTAATCAAAATAACATTTCTGGAACTACCAGTTTCTTTAGTGTTGGCGGTCATTCACTTTTATTTATTGAACTTTATCATCATTATCAATCGGTATTTAACTTTGATGCTCATGCACTTTCCATAGCTCCATTTCTTCAACAACCAACTATCTGTCAACATTCACAATTACTTCAAACAGTGATAATGAATAGTATCAAGACAACACAATGGCACACATTACATATTAATGAAGGTAGAAATATTCACTAGGAAATTACTAAAATAATTTCTATTATTTAATTCATAGGTATTGCTTCTTTCGCTCAAGAGCGTATCTTTCTTGATGAACAAGTTCGTTTTTCGAGTGATATTGCTATCTATAATGAACTATCCACTTTACAAGTTGTTCAAGGATCATTATCATTCAATCGTTTATTACAAGCATTTCGCTTTGTTTTGAATAAACATAAAATACTACGTACATCTCTTATTTTCAACAATGATAATAATAGTTTGAAGCAATGCATTACAAATTCAGACAAAACATTCACAATAACTATAAATCAAACATTTCAAAATGACAATGAACTTCGAGATATTATCTATCAAACAACTATTAACCCTTCTCTCTTCAATTTATCAACTGGTCGTGTTTTTCATGCTGAAATTCTGAAACATCAAACATCACTAAATGAAAATGAAATTAATAGCAATGAGTTCATACTGAATTCTGATGTTCTTCTCATTGCTTTTCATCATGCAGCATCTGATCGAGCAAGTTTTTCGATCTTTTTCAATGATCTATGTTTCGCTTATAATACTAATGCAATATTAGAAGAAGACGATGATGAATCATTGCAATACATTGATTATAGTATACACGAACATCTAATCGATATGTCAACATCTCGTGAATTTTGGTATTTACAATTAGAAGAATACAGTTTGGAATCTCGATTATCATTACCAGTTGATCGACATCGTTCATCTAATGATCATCGATCGAGTTCTGCTTCAGTCACTCACGTCTCTTTTGATAACGAGATTTCACAATCCTTTCTTGAATATGCTTCTGTACATCATGTGACACCATTTCAGTTAGGTCTGAGTGTTTTATATGCTTCTCTTTTCAAGTTAACGCATGGTGACAATGATTTATGTATTTCTTGTCTTAATGCTAATCGATATCGAAATGAATTAGTGAATCTAATTGGAATGTTTATTTCAACATTACCATATCGTATTCAAATTGATCCTCAATGGTCATTTGATGATCTTGTTAAATATGTACGAGAGAAGTGTTTATCAATTCTTGAACATTCTCATTATCCACTTCAACATATTCTTGCTGGTTTACATGTTAATCAATCAAATATTTCATTTCTTGAAACAATGTATGACTTTATAACAATATCGTCACACAGCGATGAATTATCTTTGGATGGAGCAAGTTTCAAGCAAGTGTCCTTTGAACAATCGTCTCAAGTGGCTAAGTTTGATTTTATGTTAATGTTTGTCTTTAATCCAACATTGGAAAATAATAGATTATCATTTCATTTAACTTGTTCGCATGATTTATTTGATGAGATTACAGTTAGAAATATAGGTCGAAGATTAGAATACTGTTTTCAACAACTTTTTTCATCCAATCAAACTATCAATCGAATTGATACATGTATTACATCTATATCGAAAATTAATGTTATTCTACCAGAAGAAACTCGAGAAATGGAAGATATTATCTTTTGTCGACAATCACATATTATAAACGAAGGTATGTTTATCTAGATATGACGTTTTTCATAGTTAGCATTTAAATTGGCAGTCCACACATTATACAGAAATGTTGTTGAAAATATGCTCATATATTGTTCAGATCATCCGATAACCGGTGCTCAACCTTAGGGTGGGTGTATGACTATGAATGATATGGATGTGATTTCTTTCGTTACATACACACCCATATCCAACTTTCTACACTCTTATCGACTCAAACCCACACCCTCAAGTTAATTATTCCATTGCTACTTTCTAACTGAATATGAAGACGCTATAATGTTTTTCAATGCTTCGGAACGCACTCTTTGTCGTAGTAGTGTAAACTACTTATTTACATAAAATATTCAGATTTTAGGAGCAGATTTTCTTGAAAGTT